GTGCGGCTTATATTCAGGTGCGCTCAATAGTCAGAAAATGACGGTAAATTGGCTGCATACTCCGTTGAAATAGTCCCTTTGTGTGGTAAGTGCCCCCTGTGTTTCTGTAATGCCACTGACTCTCTCTGGAAGCCCTAATATATAACATGTCAAGCACCATCTGTGATGAACGCTGAATCTCCTAAACTGTGTCAAAACGGTGACTCTTCAACTTGAATTTCATTTTGAGGAAGCGGAAGAAGTCACAGGGAGCGTAATCTGGTGAGCAGGGCAGGTGCAGCACGGCGACTGTGCTGCTGAAAACCCTGTGTATAATCGCAGTGCTGTGACCAGGTGCACAGCACATTGCAGCACTCGTGTGCCATCATGCCACAGTTCAAGCTGTAAAGCGCTGAATGTTCACCTTCAGACACGTCAGGACGTTACAGTAGAACTCTGCCTTGACAGTTCGACCCTGGAGGATTTGTTGCACAATCACCTGAATGATGAATTAAACAATGAGCGTGCTCCCGATGCTCCTGGCCTGATGCAGCCTGTCCAGTTTGGACAACTTTGGACTCTTACACTGTGAAAACTGCTGTTTCTTCTTTCACTGGTAGCTGCAAATCCACCTCCTATCACCAGCGATAATTCTGGAATTGAAGTTTATATCATGCCGGCTGATGACTGACACAGGAGGTCATGTTTCAAGAAGAAATCGCAAACACACACCTACCAGTAATCACAAAAACATTTGTAACACGTGATGTTGATAGCTTGGTATCACACGGCATCCTGACTCGTTACTCCTCACACATGTTGCATACCACTTTCTAGCTTTTGAATCGACCTTGATATCATCACTAGTTTTTCTGTTTTCTCTGCTCCACCATGTCTGTTCATCTCCACTCTGTGTGCGTCTGTTTCACCATGAGTCGATGACACACAGCACAGGAGACACACATAGTTAAACAATGCTCACACAAGGACTGTCGTGGTTAAACAGACGCACACAGACTTCCTCAGTGAAAAGACGTTGAAAGCAGAAGAGACATAGCAGAGCAAAGGAAAAGCCGAGAACAACAGCAAAAGAGACTCTCACACTGAGCAGAAATGAAATGAGTGCACGTAAATTAGGTAAAAAATAAATAAAAATTCTTAGTTTTAAAATTCTTGCTTTTAAACTTTAGTTTTTACAAGATGTGTGGTTAGGTTTTGGCACCAAACATGGTTGATATCATGTAATTGGTTGGCTGAAAAGGAGCAAAAAATTAGATCTGTTGTTTAGAAACGCATCAAACAAACACAATCTTGGAGTATAGACATGTAAATGAGAAAACAGTTTAGTTGCATAGGAACATAGGAACTGCTGATTGTTGACCCAACCATCCGCCCCAACCTCCTCTATGACATATTTTGTGCTTCTATAACATCAAGCTACTTCTGCCTTCCTTGTGTTTTTTAATACAAATATCAGACTGTAGCTGAATGGGCCTCTTGTAGGAGCAGTCGTTAATTTGTTTTAATGTAGATTTTGCCTGACAACTTTAGAAAAAAAATTCATAAAATCTAATTGAAGCCTCTGATTGCTGCCGACGCACATTGTTTTGACAGCGAGAGTATTTGCATTGACAGCGTGTTACTACCTCTCACCTTCGCGCACTACGACGATCTCACAGATTTTTCAGCCGTCTCTCTCTCTCTCCTTCCTCCTCACACGCAAACACACACAAACACACCCACAGGCTTGTATTTCATGAGTGTGTGGACACACAAAAACACTCACCGATACCAGCAGCAATATGCAGACAAATACACAAACAGGGATGCACACACACACAAACAGAGTTACACACACACACACACACACATACAAGCACCGGCATGGATTAATGTGTTTGGCTCAACTATTTCATTTATTACTGTCGGAGGCCTTTTGTGATGAGGGCATTTTTCAGGTTGCTAACCATTATTCCCTCTAGGCCCCGGGCTCCTCAAAGGACTGCTTGAGTGTGTGTGTGTGTGTGTGTGTGTGTGTGTGTGTCTGTGCATCAGTGTGCGCAGCCTTATGGTTATGGTTATGGTCCAACCAAGTAGTCAGATTTTTTTTCCTTCTATTCTTCAGGGGATTCACATTGCCATTTCTGACTGTACTTAATGCTCCCTCCCCATTTGTCAACACATGCCTAAGCAGCTCGAAGCCTGTTTGTTTTGCCATGAAAGGGCTTTTTTTTTTTTTGTACCTCTATCATACCTTGAAATATTGCTGAGTGTGCTGTATCCATCAACATCCCAAAAGTATCAGAGAGAGGGAGGGAAAGACCTGGAGAGAGAAAGCAGAAAAACAAGAAAAAAATAAAATAATGTCACTCGTCTCTGTCCTGACGTCCATCTCTCTCCTTCCCCATGTGTATTAAAAATGTGTTTACACAGTCCTCGGATCAACTACAGCACAAATTACATGCACATAGAGATATAAACTCAAACCACATGGCTTTGTTTCTGTTCCGAATCATGCTCGGCGTTTGGTTCTGTTTTCACGGGCTTGACTCCGCCATTGCCTCAAGAATAAATTAATTCATAGGTTTATTCTTGGTTTTGTTTGGAACATTTGTTTTCTGGCCAGTCGACTAATGTGGGACACCGATGCAGTAATTAATTGAAATCTGTCTGGATGTTATAATCAGGAAGCCACGTTGAAAACTAAAGTGTGTGATTGGATATTAAAGCTGTGGACTCAAAACGTATTGAGGGTGCAAGACAACCGCAGAGGTGTTCAAGGACAGGAGTGTCCACATACTGAAGTATACGTACGAACAAGCCTGCAACAGCAAATCTTTGAGCTGAACTGACCACGCTGAATGACCATTTGTGGTGACTGTGAAAGTAGTTTTTATCGTGTATCTCCTCTCGCTGCTCTCGTCCATCTTTACTTACTTTTTCAAAGCTCACAAAAAGGAAACCGCAGTAACAGCCATATCCTGAAAACTCAGCCATAAATAGCAGGCTGCTGAGCTGTTAACCTTATCAAACTGTGCTTATAGGCTTAATTTTGTGCTGAACTGAATGCAACAGCTTGAACCAGCAGCAGACTGAATGTACAGGACAGCCTGAATCAGAGCTGAACAACATGTTATGAACCTTACCGCTATTTGTGTCGTTGATGCCTTCATTTAGCCTTGAAAAAAAGTGAACAAATTGTACTGAACAAAGTCAGTGATTGATAATTTCCACCTCTGCCACATTCTAACATGCGTCTCCTGTAATGTGAATACAAATCTGTCTCTGACTGCAGTGAACCACAGCTTTAGAAATAGTTATTTGAGCACTGAAATGACCATTTTCTGCCTCTTCTTTTGCAATTCTTGGGGAAGCTGCACTGCTTTTACTGATTCTGAGCCAGTTAGCAGTATCATACTTTGTATGAGCACCAAGATGGTTGTTTTGTTGTCATATTGTTACTATTAGTTTATGCACAAAACAATGGTGACTTTAAAAAAACGTTGTCGAGCATCTAGTGTAAAATCAGTTTCAGTGCATCACACAGACATCACCTTTTAGAATATACTATAATTATTTAACCACTGTGATAAAATTCAAACAAAATGATCCAATGTGAGGGCCCATTGAGTAGAGTTTGTACAGAAAACAACAGGTGGTCTTAGCATTATTTCCAGAACTACATTTCCAGGACTGTTTTTAAGATCATAAATAAACACCTCCACTTTTGCCTTTATCTTGACAGAGAGATTGGAGGTGAGGAGAATGACATGGAGCAAATCCTCCCTGGTCGTGATTGGAACCAAGGATCTGCTGCTCAGAGCAAACAAACAGGTAACATCCTAAAGGCAAACCCAGAATAAAGTGTCTTAGTAGGGCTCTTATGCCACAATGTGCCTCCAAAACGGTTTTAATGCACCTCGGCATTGATTCTCTAAATCTACTGAAGAGGTTAACCACTATTATTCCAAAAGATCTTCCCTCATTGAGTGTTTTGATGATGGTGGTGGAGAGACCTGCAATTGTGTACAATCTCCCGTACTGTAGGTGTTGGGTTGGGTTGAGGTCTGGTGGGTCTGATGGCCATAGCACACGATTCACATCTTTTTCATTCTCATAAAGCCAGCGACTCCTCGTGCCCTTTGTATGGAGGCATTGTCATCCTTGAAAAGACCACTCCCACCAGGATAAAAATGTTTCAGAATAGGATAAATGTGATCACTCAGAAAAACTTTGTATTGATTTGCGGTAACCTTTTCCCTCTAAGGGGAGAAGTGGAACCAAGCCATTTTAGTAAAATGCCTCCTGCAGGAGAGAAACGTAGCAAATGCTCTCCAACCAGGATTCAAAGCTGGTCGGAGACCATTTGAACCAAAGATCCACTTCTCAGGGCGGATGTGTATCACAGACCAATTTGAATATAGTGTATACAAAATTTTTAATCTTTGTGGACCTGAAGTTATCTAAAATGTTCACATTTAAATGTAGAGTTCTTATCAGTCCAAGGTTTTACTGGCAACATGAGTCCAAACTACATGTGAAACGCACACAAAAGCCACAAATTTCTTTCATGCATTAATTTAAGGGATGAAAGAGTTAAAGTGGTTTCAAGTCAAAGCTCAGCTACAGAGAGAGACAAATATTTGCTGTAACCAGAAAGCTTTTAAACATTGTGGAAATACAGAGTCAAAATTCACCCAAGATTTTAATCAACCTCTCAACCTCAGCGTGACACAGTGTCAACCAACACTGTGCAGTGCGAGTGTCACAAAGCTGGTATTCAGGGCTGCCATTCACACAGCCTATTACCAAGGCCAAAACACAAAGATGCTGTTGGTGCAAGAAGCACAAAACCCAGAGCCCTGAGCAATGGGCAGGAGCAATGTGATCTAATGAGCTGCCTTCATGCTTCGCTTATAGGTGTCATCAGAGTCCACTGGGTCTAATGTTACCTTTATATGACTTTATAACAGCGAGAGAATAGCAGGCCATTTTTGTGCATGATTTCCCCACGCTGAAGGATGATTGTGTCTGCATGGACACTGCTAGAGTGACTGAAGAGTTGTTTCACAAGCTACAGAATGAATTCAATCATCTCCCATCAGTTCCAAACAAACGCTGACCCTGCATGGGAAAGGGTGTAAAAATCAACTTTTGTTGTCTCTCAAAGAACTGTGTGCTTTTGCATCTTCAAAAGTGTCAAAATCTAACAACGCTGGAGGGAAGAGTGAAGCAGCTGTGAAGGAAAATTATACAAAAATCTAGTAGCCAGTGCAGCTTCTATCCTTCACTCATCTGTCGGCTGCTGCCATGCAAATCCTGAACACCTTGGACCTCGGATCTTGAACCAAAAATATATTGGACAATTAAAAGTAACATTGCCATACAGGTGATTACATCTTTCAATCAAATGCACGCCACTCTACTTTGGTATTAAAAGTGTAATTAAATTTTTAGTTTATCTTATTATCTATCTAAATTGAGTTCTAGGTCTTTTCCCCTGTTAAATAGGTCTTAAAGTTTTATAATTTTCAGATAACTTCTTACAAATTAAATCAAAATATAGGAAATAGTGTCAAATTAGTTAATGTCAATGTACAGGTTTGACTTTGGGGTAAAACAATGTTCAGGCACTAAAATGTATTAAAATTAGTATTTCATGAATATTTTTCAGAGGCTGGATGCTGGCAAGAGTCAGATTTATTTTGTTTATGATGTCTATCTATGATATTCATGATGCAAATTGGTCAAGCTCGATCTAATCAATCCAGGCAGTGTGGTGTACTCACTGACGCTCTCCATGACTGTTTCAGCTCTGAGTCACATCTCTGTGATCTGGCACCAGCTAACATATTCGTGCTTCGGCTTGCGATGGACCTTTTGCCTGGGCATGCAGCAATATTAGCACCGTGAGTGTAACTAATGAAATCATTTTCACACCTTAGTACGTAAGCAGTTCCTTCATGGGCTGAAATGAGAATCACCAAATGCTTCGGCACGACAATGAAGTAGTTTTTAAACTGCACGTTTTCAGTGTGGGGCGTTTACTCGTCAAAATGTTTCCGTATGAACAGAATTTTCTAGTCCTGTGGCCTGTATCTGGAATGTTGGGTCACCACACTCATGCCAGCAGGTAATAAATGTCTTGACAGCAATGGAAAATAAATTTAGATCAAAAGTAGCCTAAGTGCTCCTAACTAGAACTGAATTTTTGTAACCTCAAAGTTAACCATATAAACAAGGTCCAGATCACATTTGGTCTCTTAGTGCCGGGACACTCACCATGATAATCAAACTGAATCATTGTTTAAATCTGTCTCACCCACGTTTATTTAGCACACACAAAAACTGTTTTTCAATTCTGATGAAAAAAGTCGACAATCATCTCATTTGAAAACCACCGCATTCAAGCTTGTGGGTGTTTTTGAGTCGTTACGAATGTAGACAGGGCACTTCATACGTAGAAAGACAATGTCCTTGTTCCCAAATCTCTAACTAGTTTCTCGAGGGATGGAAATAGCCATCCACGGGTTCAACACCGAACCTATTGCAGCTGCTGAACAGATAAAAGACGTATGCATGGCTTCAAACCACAGACTGTACAAAAGCTGGACGTTGCCCTCAGACCGCATTCTTTGTAACAGCCAGCAGGGGGCGACTCCTCTGGTTGCAGAAAGAATCAGATTGTATAGAAAATGACCCCGTCGTACCCCTTGATTTATTACCTCAGTAAACATTTTGCTAACAAGTTTATGGTCTCAGCTACGAGTTTCAAGCTCCCTTCAATACAGCATGATATTTATTTTGTAAGTTGTGGTCCTGTTTAGAGGAAAACAGATGACAAAGCAGAGTGTGCTTTAGATTAGGGCTTCCCCGTGATTGACAAGTCGCTACCGTGCGGGCGTGTATAGTTGTCGAGCTCTCAGTCTAATCTACTCTTCACGGCCAATTTCAAAAGACAAAGCTGGCAACAGTGTGCAGCCAAAGGTTTAAACACGGGGTGATGTCACAACTGCTTTGTCAGTTTTTTGTACATGAAAAATTGGCACTGAATAAATGAAAAAAAAAAAACTATCTCCAAGAGCGTGATGGAGTCTATGTTCATGTTAAAGGTGACACCTAACATTCCAAATGAGAAGCAACTTTAACCGCAACTTTTTCAAAATTATATTCCTGCTTCTATTAAATGTAAATACTGCTGCCAGTGTTATAAAGTTCAACACCTCTGGCTGCTCAGTGCTGCAGAGTTACGTGGTGAACATCCTGCTTGACTAACATTTTTTTGACATACAAGGCTGTTTTATAGGACATGTATCTATGGAAAAATACCATATACAGTATATACAACACACAGATACACCATGAATAAGGAAGACGATTCTTCATCACGATATAGTTACATATCTATTTAACTAAAAATAAAAAAAACACTTGGTGTTCTTATTTGTTATGTGCTCATGACCTAGCTTTTAATGGTCAAGTGAGTAATACTGAGGCTGAGAGTAAGAGGTGTGAATGGGGAGGGGGGGGTTTCCATATCTGATTCATTGGGTTTTTTCATCAGATAACTAGTTGTTACAACAGTTGTGTTGTCTTCAGGCTCCTTCACCGGACTGCATGACTGTCTAAGCTGTAAGTGTAATAATTTATGCAATTTATTGTCAGATATGGTGTTTGTAACGGGGCTTCTGCCATCTAAGACATACACTTGTGGAGAAACTTACAGTCCGGATGGATCAGTACGAGTTTAGAAAGTTACAAAAGGCAATAACATTGAATCAGAACCCTGTGTTTTCTTGATTAGTATCATTAAAACTAACAGTGGATTTACATCTATATTGTTTTACATAGTTTGCAGTCTTAAGTAAGATTGTTTGATTGTTTCGATTTAACAATATTAGAATTATTTGCAAATGAGCACCATGTTTTTGACTTTTATGTGATGCTAACATTTCTATTTTCTGTGGCAAATTTGCACGAGATTTACATCTAAAATATAAGCTGGTTTGACTTGTGTGTATCTCCGTCTTAGTGTCGTTGTTCATCTTGGTGCAGTGCATCTGAAGCACAAATGGAGGCAGCAGGAAGACTATTTTGGACGTTCTTCCTGGTGCTGCTTCCTGTGGCAGGTAGAGTTTACATTGCATCAGTGCTGCTGTTTCTAGAAGCTTTGAGAAATCACCTCACAGTCCTAATAGTTTTAATCAGACACCGTAACATTTAATGATTTGATGATTGTACCTCCCTTGTTTTTTAAATTCGCAGTTCAGCTGTCATCATCCAAATGTGTGAGCTACGAACACCGAGACGTTTGTGGCTTAAAGGGTTCATCAGTGGAGTTTTCCTGCTCCTATCCCAGTCACATTGAGGTCACTTCAATACAAGGATGGTCCCAAATATGGCATCCTGAGCCAAAGCCTGCACCCTTGGACATGCTGCCAGCTTATAAGGTTCGAATGAGCTATCCTGGAAGCAATGGGAACTGTACAATGAAACTGGCAAACTTAACAACAAAAGATGCTGCAACTTACTATTTTGTTTACAAATACAGACATCGTACAGCTGATCAAATGACATGCAATGGCATTCCTGGTGTAAGACTCCATGTTTTTGCATCTCCTGTGCACATCGTTGTGGAGACGATCGTCAGTGGACAGAAAACGCTTGTTAAGGACTGGACAGTGATGGAGGGTCAGAGCATATTGCTGACTTGTTCCCGCACCTGTGCAGAGAATCTGAACTCCTATTCAGGCTACATCTGGTACAAGAACAGACTGCAATTAAATACCAGCCAAGTAAACTCGTTCTATCTGTCTTTGCACCCAGTCAGTAAGGAGGATGCAGGCAGCTATGTTTGCGTCCTGATTGGCTACAAAGACTTCCCCTCATCTGCTGTCAATCTCATTGTCCAGAACAGGCCCAGAAGCATAATGTCTGGCGAAAGCGACGACAGCAGACACGAAAATGACAGTCTACCACTTCCCAGGTCACCCAAAGGCAAGAGCTTGTTTCGATTCCCTGTAGTGCTTGTTGCCAGTGTTTGCTTTGGACTGGCTGTTGTAATAACAGTGGCTGTGCTGGGCCTCAATATAAAGAAGAAGAAGAAGAGGAGAAGAAGATGCGCTGCTTCCACCCCGGCAGCTCCGGACCGCAACAATCACATTTACATGACTCTTAATATCAACTCCATGTCTCCTGAATATGACACATTGGACGCAGTGAGATGCAGCTTAGCCGATGAGGCCGATTATGAGAACCTGCCTGGAAACTCCTTGAAAGGAGAGAGGGGTTTTGAAACAACCCGCCACCTCTGACTTTCCATGTTGTAGGTCAAGGTGTATACAGTGCTTATCAAAAGTGTTCACCCCCCTTGGAAGTTGTCACTTTTAATTGCTTTTCCACATTGATTCATGGTCAATTTAATTTGATTTGATTGACAATAATTTACAAAAAAAAAAGACTCTTTCATGTCTCATTCTCGAAAGTAATGTTAATTAATTAAATATAAAAAAATGTGAAATATGTGTTGCTGGATGTCACACATACAGCGAAATGGACATGATCTGAGTGCAGACGAATGTGTCTCAAGTGATTGTAGTATGATCACATTTTTACCTGCACAGTCCAGTCATGGGTGAATCAGTACTGCTGACTATAACTACACCATGAAGGCAAAAGGATACTCAAAGCAACTCCCCTTAAACGGAGAACACCAAACACTGCATATTCTCACAAACACACCATCTCCACTGTGAAGCATGGCGGTGGCAGCATCATGGTGAAGGGATGCTTGTCGGCAGCAGGTAAAGTAAATGCAGCAAAGCATTTTGAGGACAGTCTGATGCAGTCTGCATGAGAACTGCAACCTGGGAGAGGATTTGTTTTACAGAAACACAATCACAAGCAGCGATACACAGAAATGGTTAAAAGACAACAAGGTGAATGTTGCGGAGTGTCTGAGTCAGAGCCCAGACCTCAGTCCAGCTGAGAATTTGTGGCTGTTCCCTCACAATCCCTACGCAACCACAGTTTTGCAAAGAAGAATGGGGTAAAATTGCAGTGTTCAGATGTGCAAGACTGATTGAAATCTTTCCACACAGTCTCAATACTGTGATTGCAGCCAGAGATGCTTCTACTAAACTCTGGTTTGAAGGTGAACACTTGTGAAATCACTTATTTTACATTTTATTTTTTTAATAGCTGACATTAATTTGTAGAAATCTGTTTTCAATTTGACATGAACAAATCTTTTTGGTAAATCTAACACAAAAAAAGATGTAATTGGCCATGATTCAGTGTTGAAGAGCAATGCAAGGGGAAACCTTTCAAGTTTTCTATTGATGTGACTTTTCCAAGTGCAACTGAATTATACAATTGTCATTCTGTTTTCCACACCGTTCATTGAGCGGCTTTTACATCTTTGAGTGTCAGTCACTGAACAAGACTACAGGTGTGTCCCAGCAAGTGTACGTTCATGCACTACCAATACAAACACATAACCTGCACTTGATTTGCAGTTTTCCTGATTAGGTTTCAAAGCAAAAGCAAAGTTTAATTCACTGTGGTCGACTGAACCACACCCGCCCAGTTATTAGTGGCAGTGTACCTAATAGGTGATTTTAGGACCATCAGTGATTAGCAGACATGAATCAGTTGAAGCTTATGAAATGTTTCTGTGTGAATAATATTTATGTGTAAACCCTAAACACAACTTTCACGTGTCGATGGACCCGAATAGCCAGCAGCTCTACGAGGCTGTAGTGTGTACTGTACACAGAGGTGTGTAGAGCTACGTGTTGAAATGCTAACAGGCTCACAATGACTGATATTCAGCAGGTGGAATGTTTACCATTTAGCTTAGCATTTTTGGATGCTAACATTTGCTAACATGTACTAAAACAAATACAGCTAAAGCCAAGGAAATGCTTGTAAATTAAAGTATCAGACAAATAAAGATCATGACCTGATGATGGTAGCAAAAAAAATTTTGGGTCAAGTCACCATAGTGATTACAACTATAGTTCAGTATATTTTATCTAACATTTATTATCTTACAGTGTTCCCATGAGCATCATCTCCAATATTATTTTTATTCTTAAGCACTACTGTTTTTATATGCCGTATCTTGTTTTTAATGTCTCTTCAATCCTGAGTACTTTGTAACTTGTATTTTGAAAATTGCGCTATAAATAAAGATTATAATTCTTAATGTTATGTTATTATCAAGGCCACAGACACAAGAGGGTGAGCTTTAACCATGAAGGACATGTGACCTCCCCTACAGAAGCTATGTGCTGTGCAACTAGAGGCAAGAAAGCCTTTACATTTTTATGCTCCTGCATCAGATTAAAGTGACTTTACTTTTCTAAATGCAAATTTTAGCCAACTTTTTACATGTAAGACGTGATAATCACATTTTATTAAAAGACTGTGCTGCACAGAGAAAGTACAAAGTTGTTGTATATGTTTTTTGTGATGTTTTATGGGAGTGCAAGCCTGTTCATTAGGACTCAAACACACAGGAAGACACGCCTTTAAACAGGATTAAGATCTGCCGACATGAATCGGGGTAGAACTCGTATTTGTGTTTCACCCACATGTCATCACTCTCTCGGTTTCTGTCTCAGTACCTGCATGTGCCTTCATCTGCTGCCTGCTCAGTGGCTCCAGCTAATGACATAAGTAAGCAGACATGTTCAACAACATATTGGTGCATGTAAACATTGTACACTGTAGCAGCCCTCCTCCTTCTGTTTCCTCCGAGCTTTTATCTCTCCTCTTATCTCCTGCCCTCTAAATCTGCTCATCCATCGCTCTCTGCCTCTTCTGTCTCTACTTCTATCTGTTTATCCGTCTCACTTCTCCCCGCAGCACTCAAATCCTTTTCTTTCCGTCTTCACCCTCTTTATTCTAATTTCTCCTCTCCTTTCCTTCTCCTCTCCTCAGCACACCTCCGCTGACATTATTTATTTCTCCCCGCGACTCCATCTGTCTGACGATCTGCCTGCCTCTCCAGCCATTCATCCACCATCACTCTGTTGCTGATGTGGTGTGATGGAGGAAGTAAATAAACAGAGCCAAAGCCAGGAATCCTAAAAGATCTGGTCTTTGCATGAATGATGGTAATTCATCACTCGCCCCGTCTCCCTCTCCCTGTTTCTTCTGCGTACGGGAGGAGATTTATCTTTAATAGTAATAGTGAGTCAGGTGATCGGGGAGGGGAAGGGGAGGGTGAGGGTTAGCGGGAGAGAGGGAATTATTAAATGTCACCAGTAGTTTGATGCCACCTGGGGCCAAGATGCCATCTTTGTTTTGGGCTTACTGCTTGCTGCTGGTCAGATGGATGCATTTGCTTTATTGGCAGGTATTCTCATTTCTACTTTACCCCATGGCAAGAAGGGAAAGTACAAAAAAAAAGAAGGGAAGGACAAGCTGGAGGAGGGAAGGAGAGCTGCATCTCGCACTGTAAAGTCAAAAAAAAAGAGGAAAAAAAAGGGGGCCTGTTTGTAGGTTAAAAGTGAGAGTGGGAGAGATAGATGTGATGAATAATTGCAAACAATGGGTGGTGAAAAATAGAGGAAATATTCTCCGGAGGTGCACCTCATTGTAGAAATCCCCCACCAAATCCAGGCTTCCTCCAGCTTCCTTTACCCAGCCTCCTCCTGGGTAAGTGAGCTCCTTTCTCCCTCCTTCCCCCCCACCACCCACCTCCCACCCTCCCCACATAACCAATTAGCTCTGAGGCCATAATGGATGTTGTTTGCCGTGTTTCGCTGTCAGCGGATTGAATTAGCGCCTCTGTGTGTGCGAATGTGTGTGTGTGCGTGAGTGATCATCTTATCGGCTCTTAGTACAGTAATGAAACACAGTTATAAATGGCTGCAATCCTGTTAACAAAACAGCACCTGAGTGCAGCCCGCTAGATAAATCAGAACTGGGCCGTCACCACGCCGACCCGGCGGCTGTTGCTAAGGCGTGGAATCACCAGGAGACAATTGAATCATTTGCTCACTGTCTGATAAAGCGTCTGTCTTTAACAAGCGGATCACTGCTATAAAAAAATAAGACTATTTGTTATCACTGCGCTTTTTTCCTTCACAGGATTTAGGAGAGGTTTGGTTGGATTTCTGGTTTTTGTAATCAAACTGATAACACAACAAAATAACAGCATATTTATTTGATTTCAAAAAAAGAAAAAAAAACAGCCACTGCTTTGGCTCTGGTTTTCCCTCATCGCAGTGATGTTGATATGAGTTGCCATGCATGCACTGTCTCTCTCTCTCTCTCTCTCTCTCTCTCTCTCTCACACACACACACACATTCCTCTGTCTTTGTGCTGGGGGACTATTAAGACAGTGTCTAATGCTGCGACATACTCCAGTGCTCGCACACTTAATTGTGTTAATGTTTGAGTTCACATAATCTTTCAGGGCTGTCATTCTCTCAGATTATTCAGCCCTGTTTTCAATTACTGAACGCCTCGGCACTGTAGGCCCAGAATGCATGATATACCTGTCCCTGTGCGCGCAACTGTGTGTGTGTTTCCACGCTGTTGTTTGGGCGTGCGAGCAAAACGGATAAAATGACTTTGTTCAGCTAAACAAAGATTGAGGATGAAGCAGCGTGAATTATCTGTATGCTGCCTTTTTATCGGTTACTTATTTTTGCTTCAAGGCTGCGTGTGTGTGTGTGTGTGTGTGTGTGCATCTGAATATTTGAGCCTGCATGTGCATGTGAAGTGTGTTTGCGCGTATTTACACAAGCGGCTCAGGCTTTCAACGGCCAGTCAGTTGAAAAATTGAACAGCTCCTCCTCAAACTCATTTTGAAACGTGTCTGCAATAGTTTTGGCTACAGTCACCGATCACACCACATCATCAGTTATTGTGAATATGAGAAGAGTGAACTCTGTTAGCGTTTCGACATACACGCACAAGGCAGCGGAGCATGAGTCAACTTTACGGGAGTAAGAAAAATAAAAACCACATAGCACAGTCATTACGAACTCAACAGAGCCCACTCATCCAGATCAGAGCCAGAGGTGTGTGTGTGTGTGTGTGTGTGTGTGCAAAAGGCAGATAGAAACGCAGAATGTGGGTTTCTGTGTTCCTATGTCAATCATCCTTCAGTCTCGTTGCTGCACTGCAAGAATTTCCTCACCACGGTTTACTTAGCATCACGCAAAGTTGCATGTGTGACTATGTACAGTGAGGATTACGCTTGGATATTCAAGGTTAATTCCTGTGTCCTGTGAAATTACAAACTGTGCACCAACTCCCATGTCGCCCTCAATAGCGACTGTGTGCGCCAAATTC